GGGTGAGGCGCACCAGGAATGCAGAGCTCCCTCCCTGCTCCAGAAATAGAAACTCTGGCAGCAGAACAAAAGGAGAGAGAAGAGAGAGGAAAAAAAAAAAAAAAACCGTGAATTTTCAATGCATTGGGTTGAAACCTCAGGAGACGGAAAATCAGCCCTGCTCCAGGAATTCCCACCTGTGAGGCACCTGACCACCTTTTCCAGGTGGAAATTCCTGCTGATGTCCCACCTGCCGCCGTTCCAGAGCTGGAAAAATCGATATAAATTTATATCAATGGGATCTGGTTATGGTTTATATTTACATGGATGTGAACTGCTCGTTTTGGTCAAAGGGAAAAATTGATATAAATTGATATAAATGGGATCTGTTTATGGTTTCTATTTCTATTTCTATTTCTATTTCTATTTCTATTTCTATTTATATTTATATTTATATTTATACGGATGTGAACTGCTCATTTTGGTCCAAGGGAGGTTCCAAACTCCAAAAATGGGAGCTGAAAACCGCGGAGGAATTGTGGCTTCAGATCAAAGAAAGGATTCCTGCAGGACAGAAACCACAACAAAGCCATGTCCTCGTGGTCCAAGCAGAGCCGGACACTCAGAGCTGACCAGGAAAACCTGGATTCGTTCCTGATGGAGAATTCCCGGAAAAAGGAAGGGGTTCACCCTCTCTGCTCCTTCCCCCATGTGGGGCACAATTACCCAAGAGCTCCCAAACTTCCTGATTCCTTTTCCTGTCCGAATTATTTGGGGCCCTTTCTCCTGACCACAAAAACCACCTGGGTGGGGCCGTTTCTCTGAGTTCACAAGAAACCACAATTTTTAATAAAAAAAAATTAAAATATTCAGGCCCTGACCCCTCCCTGTGGGTTTGAGCTCTGTGTTGGTGTCACCAAGGCTGGGCTTTATTTTGTCCTGGTCCCTCTGAGCTCTGCTGGAGCCAGCAGGGCCAAATTGGCCTTTTTGGGGTTTTTTGTGTCATTATGAACCTCTAAAAGCACTGAGCAGATTTTTAATTATTTAAAAAATTAATCTTCTGGGTTTTTGGGGTTATTTTGTGTCACTATGAACCCCTAAAAGTGTTGAGCAGATTTTAATGACTTAAAAAAATCCATATTCTGTTTTTTGCAGGATTTTTTGTGTCACAACGAACCCCTAAAAGTGATAAGCAGATTTTTCATTACTTAAAAAAATCCATTTTCTATTTTTGGGTGTTATTTTGTGTCACAACGGACCCCTAAAAGCGCTGAGCAGATTTTAATGACTTTAAAAATCCATCTCCTGGTTTTATGAGGATTTTTTTCAGTCTATGTGAATAAGGAATCAAATCGGTGAGAAAGTCGCACGTGATTTTTGGAGGAAGTTTATTTTTGGGTGGCAGCCCGGCTGGTTGTGCAAGGGCTGTGCCTCACCTGTCCCGGTCACCTGAGAGTCACCAGGGCCACATTCCCGCTGCTCTGGGGACAGGTGACAGCCCCGGGACCCGCGTGGGGACACCCAGAGGTGACAAAATTCTCCAGGAGCTGATAAACTTCCTCCAGCCCCGTGTGACTTCCCCAGGAATTCATGTCCTTGTTCCCAGAGGTTCAAAAGCTCCTAAAACCAGGAATTCCCTTTTTTTAGGTCACTAAAGATCTGCTCGGCACCTTCATGGGCTCATTGTGACACAAAATACCCCAAAAAACAGAAGGTGGATTTTTTTAAGTCATTAAAAATCTGCTCAGTGCTTTTAGGGGTTCATTGCAGTGCAAAAAAACCCCAAAAAACTGGAGATGGAATTTTTAAGTAATTAAAAATCTGCTCAGTGTTTTTATGGGTTCATAGTGACACAAAAAAACCCCAAAAAACAGAGATGGGTTTTTTAAAGTCATTAAACATCTGCTCAGAACCTTCATGGGTTCATTGTGACACAAAAACCCCCAAAAACCAGAAGACAGATTTTTTAAAAGTCATTAAAAATCTACTCAGCACTTTTAGGTGTTCATTGTAACACAAAAATCCCAGAAGATTTATATTTTAAGTCATTAAAAATCTGCTCAGCACTTTCATGGGTTCATAATGACACAAAAAACCCCAAAAAGGCCAATTTGGCCCTGCTGGCTCCAGCAGAGCTCAGAGGGACCAGGACAAAATAAAGCCCAGCCTTGGTGACACCAACACAGAGCTCAAACCCACAGGGAGGGGTCAGGGCCTGAATATTTTAATTTTTTTTATTAAAAATTGTGGTTTCTTGTGAACTCGGAGAAATGGCCCCACCCAGGCGGTTTCTGTGGTCAGGGGAAAGGGCCCCGAATATTTCGGACACGAATATGAATCAGGAAGTTTGGGAGCTCTTGGGTAATTGTGCCCCACATGGGGGAAGGAGCAGAGGGGGTGAAATTTTCCTTTAATTATGGAATTCTCCATCAGGAACGAATCCAGGAATGAATCCAGGAACGAATCCAGGCCCTTCCTGCTCCGAGCTGAGGGACAATTTCTCCCTGGTGATGCCGAGGAGAGCTGAGAGGGACCATGACACAAAGCCATGCCCAGCCCTGGTGACACCAACACTGAGCCTGGACCACAGGGTGGGGTGAGAATTGGAGTTTTTTAATTTAAAAAATTACAATTTTGATGCTAATGAGCTGCAGCCAGCACAAGGAGGGATTTGTTTTCCTATTTTCTCTCAGTGGATCGAAATTCAGACCCAAAACTTGACCAAACAACCCCAAAATCTGGACGTGTTGGGGTGGATGAGGTGAAACCCCAGAGCTGGAGAATCCCATGGAAAACCCGTCCCAAATTCAGTAATTGGGACCACCCCACCCCTGTGAGCCCCCCAGAGACAGCAAAACCCCCCCTGGAAATCCCAACCCCACACATCCAGAACTCCAATCCCCACAAACAGCCCCGGGGCTGGGGCTGCCGCTCCGAATGCCACGGGAGGATTAATTATCCCGAGGTAATTACCCTGGGAAGCTGACATGGAACCACTCATTGTCCGGGATGAGTCGGCGGCTCCGACTCACTCCGGGAGGGCCACGGGGCTTGCGGGACCCGGCGGCTCCTCCGGCGGCCCCATAAAAGCTCCGGCGGAGCCGGGACGCTCCGGTCGCCTCTGGAAGCTCTTCCCGCCCCCGGGAGTTGGGTGAGTCCCGTCCCTGAACCTCTGGAGAAATTCCGGGGGGGAATTTTTCCGATTCCCAGAGTGGGGATGGGATGGGTGGGCTGGATCAGGGAGGATTCCCCATCACAAGAGGTTTCCAAGGTTAGGTTGGGCGGGGTTTGGGATTGGGGATGGGGTTTGGGGAGATCTGGGGTGGGTTTGGATAAATACCAGCTCGTTTTGGAGTGGGATTAATGGATTCCAGGGAGAGATCCAGAGAGGGTTTAGGAAAAATAACACCTCAGTTTGGGGTTGGATTGGTGTTTTTCAGGGAGAGACCCAAGGTGGGTTTGGGAAAATACCAGCTTGTTTTGGGGTGGGATTAGAGGATTCCAAGGAGAAATCTGGGATGTTTTTAGGAAAAATACCAGCTCGTTTTGGGATGGGATTGGTGTTTTTCAGGGAGAGATCCAAAGTGGGTTTGGAAAAATATCAGCTTGTTTTGGGGTGGGATTAGTGGATTTCAGGGAAAGATCTGGGGTGGCTTGGAGAAAATACCGTCGTGTTTTGGAGTGGAATTCGTGGATTCCAGGGAGAGATTTGGGGTGGTTTTAGGAAAAAAAATAACACCTCAGTTTGGAGTGGGATTGGTGGATTCCAAGCAGAGATTTGGGGTGGCTTTGAAGAAAATACCATCTTGTTTTGGGGTGGAATTTGTGGATTCCAGGGAGAGATTTGGGGTGGTTTTAGGGAAAATACCAGCTCATTTTGGAGTGGGACTGGTGGATGCCAGGGAAAGATCTGGGGTGGGTTTGGAAAATACCAGCTCATTTTGGGTGGGATTGGTGGATTCCAAACAGAGATCGAGAGTGGTTTTAGAAAAAATACCAGCTTGTTTTGGGGTGGGATTAGTGGATTCCAGGGAGAGATCTGGGGTGGTTTTAGGAAAAAGAACACCTCATTTTGGGGTGGGATTGGTGGATTCCAGGGAGAACATTCCCCGCATGAAAAAGTGGTGGGAAGGACTTTCCATCAGGAGCTGGAGCGACATGGAAAGGGGGAATGGAGTAAAAGCGAAAGTGAATGAATTTTGGTTGGGTTTGGGAAGGAATTGTTCCCTGTGAGAGTGAGGAGAGCCTGGCATGGGATGTTCCATGGATTTCCCATCCCTAGAAGTGTCCCAGGCCAGGTTGGAGCCACCTGGGATGGTGGAAGGTGTCCCATGGCAGGGGTTGGGTTGATCTTTGCTGTCCTTTCCAACCCAAAGCACTCTGGGATTCTGGGATTACGAAATCCAGATTTATTCCTGATTTTCCCATATAAAAAATGCAATTTGGGAGAGGATTTTAAAATAGATTGGTTGGAATTTCTGTGCTGGAGTGGGAGACGATTTTTGGGGTTTGCTGCTGAGTGCCTGAACCCCAGATTTGCTCCTGAAAAAGGGGAATTTGGGAGCAAGGGAAGTTTTAGTTATTAATTAATTAAATTAATTGGGGGGTTTTTGCATAACATTCAGTGCTGAGTGTCCCCAAATGTCCCAACTTGGTTTCAGGACATGGTTCAGAGTTAAAAACGAGGGGTTGGGTCCCTCAGGTGCTGCTGGGGCCATGATGGGACAGTGGCACAACTGGGATGTGTCCCCAAGGTGTGGCGACCTCATCTGTCCAGGTGTCCTTGGGTGTCACCAAAACGGTGGGGAGGGAGCCTAAAATTCACCTCATTCCAATCCCATGATGTCCTTCAAGTGTCCCCAAGATGTCCCTGAGACCTCCAGCAGCTGGGGCTGGGACATGTCCCCAAGGTTTGGGGATGAGGCTCCCTCAGATGCCACCAAAGGGTTGGGTTGGGACCTCAAACCTCACCTGACTCCAACCCCATCCGTGTCCTTCCAGTCCTGCTACGTGTCCCCAAGATGTCCTGCCAGCTGCACCAGCACCTCCCTCCGCTCTACCAGAACCCCGTGGCGCTGTCCCCTGGCGTCCCCTTCCCGCCTCAGCGGTGGCACTCCACCACCTGCATCCCCCAGGCCGTGCCCGGCCAGGTGATGCCCCTGCAGCGGGCCACGTCCTCCAGCGTGTGCCACCAGCAGAGCGTCACCCAGGCCGTGCCACCCCGCCAGCTCCACGGACCCCTCCCGCAGCAGCAGATTGTCCCCAGGCGGGTGACAACGTGCCCGCCACCGCAGCAGCGCGTGACCGGCGGCGCGGGCGTCACCTGGAGCGTGCCGCACCGGGTGGGGGTGACCCAGTGCGTGCCACAGCAGCTGCGGGTGCCACAGCACTGCCCGCCCGTCCCCCAGCAGCAGAAGATTGTCCCCAGGTGCGTCACCACCTGCGTGCCGCAGCAGCGCGCGACGGGCGGCGCGGGTGTCACCGGCGTCACCCAGTGCGTGCCGCAGCAGCTGCAGGTGCCACCGCCCCGGTGCGTCCCCCAGCAGCAGAAGATTGTCCCCAGGTGCGTCACCACCTGCGTGCCGCGGCCGCCGTTTGTCACCAAGGGCGTCCCGCCGCGGCAGAGTGCCACCAGGTGCGTCCCCCAGCAGTGCGTGACCAGCGTCTGTCCCCAGCAGGCCGTCCCCACGTGTGTCACCACCTGTGTCCCCCAGCAGCGCGCGGCCCGGGGAGTGTCCTACCAGTGGGTGACAGCGCCCGTCCCCCAGCAGCGGCAGAGTGTGACCGCCGGTGTCCCCCAGCAGTGGCACGGCAGGTGTGTCACCAAGTGTGTCCCGCAGCAGTGTGACACCGGCGGGGCCAGCATTTGTGTCCCGCAGCAGCAGCAGAGCGGGACAATTTGTGTCCCACAGCAAAGTGTCACCAAATGTGTCCCACAGCAAAGTGCCACCAAGGGTGTCCCCCAGCAGATTGCCACTAAAAGTGTCCCCCAGCAAAGTGTCACCAAGTGTGTCCCCCAGCAGATTGCCACTAAATGTGTACCCCAGCAGTATGGGACAATCTGTGTCCCCCAGCAAAGTGCCACCAAGTGCGTCCCCCAGCACTACGGGACAATCTGTGTCCCCCAGCAGTGTGTGACCAAGAGTGTCACTCAGCAAAGTGCCACCAAGTGTGTCCCCCAGCAGAGCGTGACCAAATGTGTCCCCCAGCAAGGCATGGCCAAGTGCGTCCCCCAGCAAAGCGTCACCAAAGGTGTCACCCAGAAATATGGGACAGTTTGTGTCCCCCAGCAAAGTGCCACCAAGTGTGTCCCCCAGCAAAGTGTCAAGTGTGTCCCTCAGCAGTGTGGCACAATTTGTGTCCCTCAGCAGAGTGTAACCAAGTGTGTCCCCCAGCAAAGTGCCACCAAGTGTGTCCCTCAGCAATATGGGACAATTGGTGTCCCCCAGCAAAGTGCCACCAAATGTGTCCCCCAGCAGTGCGTGACCAAGAGTGTCACTCAACAGAGTGCCACCAAGTGTGTCCCCCAGCAAAGTGCCACCAAATGCGTCCCCCAGCAATATGGGACAGTTTGTGTCCCCCAGCAGTGTGTCACTAAGTGTGTCCCCCAGCAAAGTGCCACCAAGTGTGTCCCCCAGCAGTCCGGTGGAGTGAAGATCTCCAGCCACGCCAAGAAATACTGCTCGGCCCCCAAGTGGCCCTGGTGACCCCCAGGGCGTGGGACGAGGACAATCCCCGGGAATGTGGCCACAATTCCCATTTTGTTTTAAGCCCTGACTCCCGCAGAGTCCCCAGAGAGCAATTCCCCAAAATGTCCCTCCTGAAGTTTTTATTCTTTGGTTAAGATAAAAACCACATCTTGAAATGAAACCTCTTCAAAATAACGAAAGTTATAGCATGGTTATTTTATAAATGTTTCATTAAAGAGGTAATTACATTGTTTATTATGGAGATGTGCACTGAAAACAAACTTTATTTACAGAAATATATTAATATTTACATATATATATATCTATAAACTTAAATAAACGTTGTTGCCTGACCTTGGATTAAAATCTCGAGTTTCTGCCTCTTGGTGTTTTTTTATTTAATTAAAGAAATATTTATTTAATACTATTATTATTTTAAATTAATATTATAAATATGTAATATTATTATATTTAACATGACATGTTTATTTAACAGGAATATTTATTTAATAGAAATATGTATTCAATAGAAAAATATTTAATGGGAATATTTATTTAACATCAAATATTTAATATTAAATAATTATTTAATATCAAATATTTGTTTAATATGAAATAATTATTAAAAAGTAAATATTTATTTAATATAAAATTTTAAATTATTAAGAATCCAGCAAAACGCAGGCTGGATAAAGCCTTCGCTGAGCCCCATGATTAGGAACATGAGCAGGAGCTCACGAGGTGACCTGAGGGGACAGGAGGGTGTGGCCGGGCTGGGGACGCTGTCCCGCATCTTGTCCTGCCCCTCCCTGCCTCGGTGACCTCCTGGTGCCACCTGGAGTTGTCCAAGAGCTCCTGGGAGTGTCGGGAGCTCCCGGTGCCTCCATTTCCTCGGAGTTTGAGTTTTTATTTCCAGCAGGGAATGTGGAAAATCTGGTTGGTCCCACAATCCAACACTCCGGATTCCCCGAAAACTGAGGGGGAAAATCCTGGAATGGTTTGGGTGGCAGGGATTAAAATCGGGATAAAATCCTGGAATGGTTTGGGTTTCAGGGATTAAAATTGGGATAAAATCCTGGAATTATTTGGGCTTCATGCACCTGTTGGATCTGCTTAAAATTGGGATAAAATTCTGGAATGCTTTGAGTTTCAGGGACCTGTTGGATCTGATTAAAATCCAGATAAAATCCTGGAATGCTTTGGGTTTCAGGGACCTGTTGGATCCAATTAAAATTGGGATAAAATCCTGGAATGGTTTGGATTTCAGGGATTAAAATCAGGAAAAAGTCCTGGAATATTTTGGGTTTCAGGGACCCGTAGGAGCTGATTAAAATCGGGATAAAATCCAGGAATGGTTTGGGTTTCAGGGACATCAAAATCATCCCATTCCATAGGCAGGGACATTCCCCTTTCCCAAATGGCTCCAATCCAGCCCTGGATATTCCCAGGGATGGGGAATCCATGGAATCACCTGGGCCAAGGAAAGATTGATCCCTAAAATCCCATTCAAACCAGCCCAGGGAATTCTGGAATGGTTTGGGATGGAAAGGAACCTTAAATCCCAAAAAATCCCATCCCACTTCCATGGGCAGGGACCTTCCCCTATCCCAGGTGGTTCCAGGGGTGGGAAATCCATGGAATAACCTGGGACCCTCACAGGGAACAATTCCAACCCAAAATCCCACCCAAATTCCCCCCCTGTCCCCCTGACCCCATTCCCAGTGTCCTGTCCCTGCAGTTCCCAGAGGGGCTTTGGGGTCTCCACATTGCCAACATTCCAAAAATTCCCAACATTCCCAGCATTCCCAGTCCCATCTTGTGGTGGCCTTGTGGCTTTTCCCACGGAACCTTCCAGAAAAATCCTCCTTTGGTGAGTGGATCCCGGATTTTGGGGTCACTGGGATTTGGGGATGTTTTGGACGGGGTTGGCCCTGACTCAGCCGTGCCTCAGTTTCCCCAGCGTTTAATTGGGAATAATGAACCCCCCCCTTCCCAATTTCCCAGGAGCCTCTGGGAGATGAAAGGGCCTCGCAAATGTTAATTAAGGACATTGGGGTGTTAATTAAGGGCGCTTTTAATGCCAGGTCACCACGTTAATGCCCTGCTCCCTGCGCTGGGCACACACAACCAGGAATTAGGAGCTCTCCTTGATCCCGAGCTTCCCAAGGAATTCCCATAAAATCTGGCCTAAGCCGCGCTCCGACGCCTGTTTATTCCCAAAATTCCATGTCAGGGAATTCAGCATTAAAAAGTTCAGGGTGTTGTTGTTGTTGTTGTTGTTTTTATTCAGGGCATGGAGAATCCATAAAAGTGAGAGGAATTTGGGATTTGCCTTCGGGTTCCTCCCTTGGGCCCTCGGAATGTTGGGATCCGCCTGGAAAAGCGGCGCCGGTGCCTCTGGGATTTCCTGTGCAGCCGGGAAATTAAAGGGAAATCACAGGGCGGCCTCCAGGCTCCTGGGAAAGCAGGAAATAAAACGGGAGATTTAGGTCGTGGAGCTTGATACTCCAAATATTCCAATATTCTAATGTTCAAATACTCCAATATTCAAATAATCTAATATTCAAATAATCCAAAATCCATATAATCTAATATTCAAAAACTCCAATATTAAAATGTTTAAATATTCCAATCTTCCAATACCCCAACATTCCAAAACTCCAATATTCAATTATTCCTATACTCAAATAATCCGATATTCCAATATCCAAATATCCCGATATTACAACATTCCGGTATTCAAATATCCAAATACTGCAGTATCCAAATAATCCAATATCCCAATATTCCAAAATTCCGGTATTCAAATACCCAAATATTCCAATATCCAAATAATCCAATATCCCAATATCAAAATATCCCAATATTCCATAATTCCAAAACTCCAATATTCCAATATCCAAATATTCCAATATTTAAATATTCCAATATTTAAATATTCCAATATTCCAGTCATGGTCACATTCCCAAGGCTCCAGGAGCGTTTTCCCAATTTGGGAATTTTGGGAATTCTGAGCAGGGCCCAGAGTTGGATTTGATCCCTTCCGAGGAGGATTTTCCATGATAATTCCCTTTTTTTTCAGGCATCTCACCTGAATTAATTAAAAAATGTTGGATTCATATAAAAGGGACCGAAAAACCCCAAAAAACCCCAAAATCCCAAATTCCAGGCCCTTCCCTGGTGCAGAAGTGACTCCCACAGTTGGCATTCCCAGTCCTCATTTTCCCTGGGTTTTTTTGGGGTTTTTTTTGTGGGACAAACAGGGAACAAAGGAGCAGGAAATGGGAATTTCGGGGTTTTTTTGGGATGAGCCCTCTCCCTACCCCCCTTTGTGGCCGGGAATTTTTGGGAGCCGTCCCGATGATCCCTCCTGGATCCCTGGGAAGGAATCTGCGTGTCCCACTAATTATGGGATGCCCCGAGTCCTTCCTGGATGGGTTTTCAAAGGGATTCCTGCCCGCAGCTCCCCTGGGAATGAGGAATTCCTTATTTCCCTTGGCTGGGCTCCACTGGGATTTAAAAAAAAAAATTTTTGGGTTTTTTTTGGGGAGTAGAATGGGTAGTTTCGATTGGAATTTCAGGAAAATTTGGCATCCCAGAGAATCCTCAATTTTCCAGGGTTTTTTGTTTGGTTGGTTGTGTTTTTGGTTTTATTTTGGGGGTGGAAAGAATTGTTTTGGCTGGAATTTTGGGAAGATTTGACAACCCTGAGAATCCTCGAGTTTCTGAGGTTTTGGGGTTTTTTTGGGTTTTTTTGGGGAGTGGAAAGGGCTGTTTTGGTTGGAATTTTGGGAAGATTTGACATCCCTGAGAATCCTTGGTTTTCCATGTTTTTTTTTTAATTTTTAGGGTTTTTTTGGGGGGAATGGAAATGGCTGTTTTGACTGGAATTTTGGAAAAACCTGTTATCCCTGAGGAATTCTGATTTTCCAGGGTTTTTTTGGGGAATGGAAAGGGCTGTTTTGGCTAGAATGCCAAGAAAATTTGGCACTCCTAAGGATCCTTTACTCTTCAGATTTTTTGTTTGTTTTTTGGGATTTTTAGGGTTTTTTTGGGGAGTGGAAAGGGCTTTTTCAGATGGAATTTTGGGAAAATCTGTGACCCCTGAGGATTTCTGATTTTCCAGGGTTTTTTTTTTCTGGCCCAGCCTCTCGGCTCCCGGTGATCCAGGACATCCCTGGGAGCCGGAGCCGCACGTGGCCGGGTTTGGGGTGCAATTAAAGCCAAACCCAACCTCCCTAAAATTCCCTGGGGCATTCCCGGGCTCCATAAAAACCCGGCCAGCCCCGGCCTTTCCCGGGCGCTTCTCTCCGGCTCTTCCCCCTCATGAGCTGGGTAAGTCCTGGAAATCCCAAAATTCTCCTTTTTGTCCCCGAATTCTCCTCCAGCTTTTTGGGATGCGCGGCTCTTCCGGCGGGAGCTCCGCTGAGGAAAAACGGGGAAGAAATTCCATAGGGAATGGGATTTTTTTGGGGGGGGTTTTCCTGCATTTTTTTCCCGGTGGGTTTTGGTTCCATAAATGTGGATCCCAACAGGAATCGGGTGTGGGATGGGAAGAGCCGAGGCAGTTCCTCCAAAAGAACCGGAGGAATTCCCTGCTGCTTTAATGGAATTTTAAACAAAATAATTAATTTTTTTCCCGACCAGAACAAGGAACTGACGGAATTCCAGACGGGAAAAATCCCCAATTCCTAAAAATTCCCGGCTAAACCCCCTAAAAACGAGTGGGAGGCGCAAACAATCTCCTTAATTAAGAGGCGTTTTTTTCTCGTGTTGCGGTAATTGCTGCCTTTGTTTTCCAGGCGATGTTTTTATTGGACAATGATTGTTTTGATTGTGATGATAACGAGTTTTCCTAATGAGCCGGGCACGTGATTCCGTCCTGGTTTAGGATTTGGGAAGACGGAAACTTAAATTCTGGAATGATGGGAATTCAGGGTGCCGAGAAAATGTGCGATTTAATTATTATTATTTTTTTACAATTTACTATATAGATTTTTTTAATCCTTTACTCTCT